CTGGCTAAATTAACTAAAGTTAATACACTTCTGACACTTCCAATCTGCTAAATGTCATAACAAGTGATCTCAAACTCTTGTAATAACATAAAACTCTTAATAAAAAGATGAGTAAAGTGTTGGAAAAACTTGTAAACGTAGCGAGAATTTAGTGATGTATTTTACTCATATTGCAAGATTGAAGTTATATAAAAATTCAGTTAGTAAAATTTTTTTTAAAATAATCAACATATTAGAGATGAAACTAATTACTATTTTATGTCGAATTTAAAAATATTTTCAAATACTTTTTATCTCATCAAGTTAAATTGATTTATAACTAGCTTGCTATGTGATAGTTTGAAAAATAGAGTAATAATTTTTCACAAGCTGTGAAAACAAAGTTAATAATATAAGTATTTTATATTCATATTAAATCTTTTTCTTTTCTTTTCATATTTAGACAAATGACTACAGTATTAAAGTTGAAAAAAATGATTTATGTGGATTCTTTGTCAGCTTCTAGTTTGGAGGCTTCTCTGATATTATCACACGTGCTTCCATTTTACACTAATAAAAAAAATAAACTATGATTAATAAACTCTGTTTAAGCTATGAAAATCAGATTAATTTTAATCACTTTATGTTTAGTGGGTTAACTCTTTTTTTCTTTGAATATGACAGAAACAAGGTAATGGGGAATGAACCTAGTCCTTAGTCAATAGACGGATTATTATTTGTCGTATTTCTCTTATAATTAAATATTATTTTATTAAAATGTTTATAGTCTTCGAAAATAATAAATTACTAAGGATAAAATGAAAAAAATCTATTATATTTCGAATTTTTGAAATGATAGATAATTTAAAAAATTTATAACAAATAATTTGAGATAACATATACATATATAGTCAATGTTTATCTCATTTTCATGGGTCGTACAATATTGACGAAATTTCTGAAAAAATGAGAAGGAATTTATATTGGCAGTCATTATTTAGTAGTCAACCTTTGTATTTTTTCTTTGTAAAAGCAAAAATTATTTTATCTTAGAATAACGTAACTGAAAGATATAATATTATTTGGACTTTGAAATATCTAGAACGAGCTCTCTTCATTATTATATTTGCAAATTATCCATTATTTCAAGTAAGTGGAGCTAATGCATAAATTCTTTTTATAATTAATAGACTCTTATAACCATTAAGCATATGCTTAATTGAGGGTTTTTAAGTACATAATAATGTGATGAAATTGTTGTTCCATAAAAAACTCATAACCAGGTCACTTGTAATTTTTTTAATGATTACTGAGTTCGAAAAAGATTTTGTGCTACCTCAATTGATTCTATGAGATATTTTATCTCTCACTAAGAGGAGATCCACATTCATATGTTGAGGGTGCATGTGCATCTGTTAACTTCGAAAACAATCATGTATATATATATATATATATATATATCGATCATGAGAAACTGATTAAAAATACGATATAACAAACAGTGCACCATGAAGACTATAGAAATTCCTTTGTGTTGCTGGTATAAGCTAGAAAAATCACTTGCGAGACCACTGTTTGAATCCAGCCAAGGCCTGATTTCTTTGTTTTTATTTTAAATTTATTGGTGCACTCAAAATTTTCAAATTCTGAATTCGCTTCAGATCTCATTAGTAACAAGTATCCAAATAATGCCATCCAACAAGAATAGAAAAGATGAAAAGAATCACCTAATATGTAGCTAAACAATAAACTTCGTTGCTAAAGCCACTTAGCAATGAATTAGCTATTAATTTTTGTTAACAACGAACAAAATAGCAACAGACTAGCAACGACGTTTGTTGCTAAATGCAGTGTTTTTAAGTAGTGGTATTCAA